AATATATTTAGAAAGTGATTAGTATAATTAGATAAAATATATTAAATATCTAGTTTAATTTTATTAAGTATTAGAGATTTAAATATCTTTAATATATTATTAAAATAATATTTTAATATTTTATTTTTCTTTTTTTAGTTATCTATTATTAATTTTATTATTTCTTAGTTATATTTTAAGTTTTTCTATATTGAATTTCTTATATTATTATTTTTTTCTTTTATGGAATATTATTTAGTTGACTTATATTTATATTTATCTATATTTATTATTATAGAGTTTCTTCTTTAATCTATTTATTAGGTTGATTATTATCTTATTATATTTATTTCTTTTTGAATTATACCGTTTGTATATTTTTATAATTTCTATTAATCTACCTTAATATTATTATAATTATAAATATTTTAAAGGTAAAATACTAGCTTATTTTAAAAATAGTATTACTTACTACTACTATAAATCCCTCTTATAAATAATAGTTCTATTATTAGTATCTAATCTAAATAACTATAAGACTATATTAGAATATTTTTAAGTAAGTAAATATATAGTAGTATCTAAACTACTAATATATCTTTATTTAAAAAGTATAAATAGTTTATTTAATTATTTTAATAATATTAAAGTATAAAAATTTAATACTAAATACTACTTATATTAGTTTTTTTATAGTATTAATAATAACTTTTTATAAAGTAGTAATATTTATAAAAAAGTTATTACTATTTCTATAAAATATAATAATAATATTATATCTAATTTTAATAATACTTTAAAGAATATTAATATAGAAAATAACTCTATTACTAGTTTAATAACTTTTACTATATCTAAATCTATTAAATATTATAAGAATAATACTACTAAGGAAATATCTTCTAATAAAGCTACTATAGTTAACTAACTAAAAATAGATAAATTAGTATCTTAATATATATTAAGAATTAATATAATAATAAAAATAACTAATAAATTTAAAAATAATAATAAAGATTCTATATTAGACTTATAAAATATATTAGTATTTAAAATATTATTTATTAAATAATTTATAATAATATATTTTATAAACTTTATTATATTAATATTTATTTATTATTATAATTTATTAGATACTTTCTTTTTAAACTTTATATTATTTAATATTACCAAAATTTTTATTAAAATTTTTTTTATATTTTTAAACTTTATAAATACTATATTTATTATTTAAACTATTAATTAATATATAAATATTATTTATTATTTCTATAATAAGTTTAATTAATATATTTTAAAATATATAGTATTTACTATAACTATTAATAAATATAATACTATTATTCTTATTTATTATATTATTTAAATATATTTATAAAATACTATAGTTATATTATAATAGTTATTATTTAAACTTATATTTACTATATTTATTTTAATTATATTTAGTATAATTACTCTAATTTAAAGTACTATAGAGATTTTTATTAATAATATTTAATTAATAACTCTCTATAAAACTAAAATTAGATAAAAAATAATACTTTACTATAAAA